TACAAAACATTCAAAGAACCATCATCCTCATCCAGGCAGGTTATCCACTGTAACAAACACACCATCAGCAGGAAACCTCCACTCCTGTCCATCCCGAATGACCCAGTGGCAACCACTGCTTCCAAAACAAAGCCCGAACAATAACGCTTTTAACCACATGGCCCGGAAGAACCTGCTTTGCACAGACCGAAACAGCAGCTATTTATCCTGTAAAGCAAAACTGCACTCCCCTTCTCAAAAAGCCATTTCCATTCAATTTTGTAACAGTGGGAGACTGTAGTCCCCCAGGAATATTTTCCATACATTTATAGTATTGTATAAACTAAGAAAACCCACATGGAATAGTATTTCTAAGCAGTGCTCCCTGTGCTCTCTCAACCCCCTCTCACAGCACTGCTGCGCTCCAGCCAACTCCTCTCCTGACATAACAGCTTATTCCTTGAGGAATAAGGAATAACTCCTTCAGGCAGAGCTGGACATTACAAAGATCAGCAGTGGATGGGCAGTGAAACAGACTTTTATTCCATGCACATGTAACCCACGCAAGGCTCAATGAAATTGTGCGACAATCAAAAACGACCATAAAGTGCCTTTTGAACCACACAGCAGAAAGTTTCAGCACAGAACAGAGATGTAAGAGAAAAAAACCCTGTGAAAGTAGTAACTGAACCACACAATTTACATGCACAGCTATACTTTGTATACTTTCCAATACTTTGTAAAGTATTCTGCTTTTTGAAGGCAAGATGAACAACGGCAAAGAATAAATTGCACTGTATGGGTACAACTTGCCATAAATTAAGGAAAAACAGCATTATCTCAATCAGAAAAAAAATTGCCCAAAATGATGGAAGCCACACATTTAGACTTAACACGGCAAAAGATAGCACAGAGGGTTATTCTATGAGAATTAGTAACACATGATTTTGGGTTTTCTTCTATGGAAATGTCTTTGGCAATAACAGTTGCCTCAACCCTCAAACAGGTCTATCCCAACATAGGGCCAACACCAAGAACTATGTCCAGAGCATCATCCTGAGCGAGTGGCAAAGCTGAGACAAACTAAGCTGCTCATTACATACAGGGTTTGCTTGCTTGATTTTTAGCTGCAGACCATATAACATCATTTGCCCCAAATCATCCAGCAGGTGGCTGGCACAGCTGGGAAAGGACATCCCACTCCTGACCTCAAAGGTCTGGACGAGGCTCTCACCATCCAGGCCCAAGTTACTGCCATTTGGTCCCGCTGCAACACCAAACCTCCACATGGATCCACAGAAGAAACAAGACTTCTATCCTCTGGGAAAACAGCTTCCCAGACTTCTCTTTTGATCAAAATCTAACTGGAGTTTTGCTCCAGCCCTCCCTCATCCCCCCCCCTTTCATTTTTCCCACAAGAATTTTCAGCCTTTCCCACTGATGTCTCCCATAGCTCTCCCTACACTGCATTAGTATATTACACATTAACTCAAAGATGAACATGTGAAATAGCATGATGTTCAGCACAGCCTAACTCCTCTTCCTGTCACTGACATTCTGCTCCTTTCACACTACAAAGTTCCCCCATGGCCACCCTTTTCCTCAATGCACGGGATTACAAAGGAGCTGCTGGAGGAGCTGTTGTGGCACTGAGCATCTGCAGAGTGCTATGAAAAAAAGAACTTTTATTTAGAAGGACACAAACTCAATAATTCACTTTTAAATCAAAATATTAAAACCTGGTTCAGGAGAACACTCCTAATGCCAATGAAACATCTCTGGCCAACTATTTGTTTACTTGGAGAAGAGAAGGCTCCTGAAGGGGAGACCTTAGAGCAGCTCCCATGCTTAAAGGGGCTACAGGAAACCTGCAGAGGGACTTTGGACAAGGGCCTGTAGGGCCAGGCCAAGGGGAATGGCTTTAACCTGCCAGAGGGGAGACTGAGATGAGCTCTTAGGCAGAAGCTCTTCCCTGTGAGGGTGCTGAGGCGCTGGCACAGGGTGCCCAGAGAAGCTGTGGCTGCCCCATCCCAGGCAGTGTTCAAGGCCAGGTTGGACACAGGGGCTTGGAGCAAGCTGCTCTAGTGGAAGGTGCCCCTGCCCATGGCAGGGGTTGGAGCTGGAGGAGCTTTAAGGTCCCTTCCAACATAAACTAGTCTGGGATTCTGCATGTGCTTCATGCACCACACATTTGTCTGATGTGGTTTTATGCAAGCAGCATATTCAACTCCCCCAACACAGAGAGCTGAGAAGTTTGCTGCAACTGCCAGATGGTGAGGATCACCAAAACTTCGTGCAGGTGAGTGTCACTATTAACAGCATTACTGCCTTAAAAACCTGCAGCAGAGGTTTTCTGATGGATTGCTCACATCCCAGAACGTGCATTTTCCTGGTTCTATTCCACATGCTGAAATTTGATTATTCCTGCCCTATTGTTTGCACTTACAGTGAGGAAAAACATGGAAACAGAAGGCATGGCTAATAAGGATGCTTGAGCCAAAAAGCTGACACACAGCCATGGGCAGGTTCCTGTTCTCCATATAAAACCAGGGATGCACCAAGCCCCTGGCACATACCAGAACACACAGAGCTCCGTAAGACAGTTTCACATTCACAGAGGAACAGGGAGATTTATTAATTGATTTCTTAAAAGTCATCATTTCAGAGGGAGTCAACAAAGCCTGGAGCAGACCCCATCATCCCACACCCTTTTATAAAACCTAACACCTTGAAAGCACTCTCGTCCTGTTGAAACAATTCATTGAGACAAACAGATCCCCAAGGTCCTTTACAGGAATGTGAAGAGATAAAAACAGTGTAGGCAGAAAGTCCTAGCATGGAAACCTTGCCTTTGCTGAGGGTGAAAAACTTGTACGCCTTAACAAATCCCTTCCTACATCAAATCTGGATCACTCTGGAGACAGCTGGGGACGACACAGTAGATGAGGGAGGAGATTCCCTGAACTAGCACAGCACAACTTGGTGTCTGCTCTCTGTGGCCAAAGTGATGATTTCAACAAACACTCCCTTAACCTAACTGTGCTCTGGAAGAACAGCATGTGGAAATCCCCTTGAAGCAGAAGGTCATCCAAAAGCATAAAGATTTCATCTTATCTTAACATATAACTACAGCCCTTGAAGCAACATTAAAAAACTCCTGCTATTTCTGCAGCCAAGAAGTAGAGCCCAGAAGGTGACTCACTGATAATCTCACCATCTCCCCCAAACCACACAGGCACCTCATACCAGCAAACTGCCCAACGTCTCAGGTTTAAGCCCATCTTCAAATTCGTTATCATTCCAGCTGAAGAGCTCCAAATCACAACAAGCCTTTCCCCTCTCCCATGAACCATTCCTGGAATTACCCCCCCCCCCCCCCCCCCCCCCAGTGCCAGGAAATTATGTCATATTTAAAAGAATTTGTGTAGCTTTGACTTTCAGTTACAGGATCACTCTTCCATAGGCATGGACTTCCAGAGTGGCTGAGTCACTCCTGAACCCTCTCGTCTTGGATGGGCCTGAATACACTGAGTTCAGTAAGTCCATTTCATGGCTTGTTTTCCAGGACCAGAACATTTCTATGGCCTTCTCTGAACTCTTCAGTATTTCCATCTCTTATTTGAGAACTCCTGGAACTGCAGACTCTGTGCCAGCAGCCCACTGTAACCCCACCACGTGCACACACATCATCACCCCACCATGATTCTCTTTCCAAAAAGCAAAAATACCCAATAATGGAATCAGTTTCTCCCACAACAGCAAAGTTCAAATTGCATCACTGTGTAACTGAGCCCTGCGTGTCGCTCTCTACCACCTCTGTGTCTGAGGTAGGAACCTGTCCTGGTTTCTAAACCTCACACAGCCTTTTTCATTACATTAAGATCCTTCTCCATCTGCCCGGGAAGGTCAGAGCAGGCTACAGCAGTCACATCTTGTCAGTATCAGTAAACCTTAACTGTGAAGGTTACAAACCTTCTTTTGGATAAGTGAAGTCAGTATTAGTGTTGGAACAAAGAACTGGTACATGGAAGAGCTGCACAGAAACAACCAACTTGTTTATGTCTTCCAATTAACAATCAAGGCACAGGGCTTGTTCCTAAGGCCATTGTTCAGTTCTGTGCTTCTGCCCCAAGCCACCACCTCTGTTCCATTAGGGCAGATCACATTAGTCAGATTCCTCAGAGAGCTTCAAGTGTGTGATACCAGCGACACCATCAGTTGAGTTCATCACATCATGAAATCCGCTTTCAGGAACACCGAGACAGGGTGAACACCTCTTCCTTCAAGCCTATGTTGTATCACCTTTAATCTCCACATTCACCATATTTATAGCACAGAATTATGTACAAAGCTCTACATACTCGTTATTTTTTTGTTCCGCCTACTGACATCACGTAACAAACTTTCTTAAAACACTTTTAACCCTTCCATAGGTGTGGACAATGCTCGAGGTACTTCCAATCCCTCTGGCTTTCTCCCCCATCTTCCGAAACATTTAAAGTCGGTGACAAGAGCAAAACCAGTTTAGGACAAGGCAATCTGAAATCACACTTCTGAGCTGCCAGTAAGGCGACCGCCACAAATGCCTTTGGCTTCCGTTGATAGCTTGTAATTATTCGCTCCTATTACCCCCGTAGTCAGCGCGGTAGCTCTCCAGGGCTGCCAGGCTGCCGCGGCTCCTGACTGGGAGCTCCCCTCACATGGGTTTATGGCTACGCTCCCCTCCGCGCCTCCCCTGTCCCAGGGAGCGGGGGGGAGCAGCCGGTGTCCCCGGCCCGCGCTTTACTTCAGGCAGCCCCGGCCCGCGCTTTACTTCAGGCAGCCCCGGCCGAGGCCCACGCAGACCCCCAAGCCCTGCCCCACCGCCACCGCCATAGCCACCGCCACCCCCCCCCCCGAGGCGCCCGGAGCCCCCGCTCCCGCCCCGCGCGGAGCCCCCGAGCCGCTCCGTGGCTCCGTCCCGGCTGCGGGGCGCGTACCCGCGGAACGGCCGCGCGCAGCCGCCGCCTCCTGCCACTCACCTGGCTCCGGCCCGGAAGCGGCGAGGAGAACACCCGAGTGCGCCGCTCAGAACCTTCCCTGTCGCTCCCGCCTCCCCGCTGCGTGCGGCAAAGGGAACCAGCTACGGAACCTTTCATGTGTAGCCCCACGCCCCCATCGGGCTTCTTTTCTGGGGGCACTCGTGGACGCGCCGGTAGGGGGCGGTGTCGCCCGTTGCAGCGTGGCGGGCGGGCGGGCGGCATTACCTTAAATACCCGAGAGCGGCCGCGCTACCGTAATTACTGTGTACAATGCGCACACTAATAGGGCCGTGACAAGAACCCCCGCGGTTTTCCCCCCAGCTGTAGCCGCCGGCATCCCCTCTGCCCCCGGACACTTCGGGGTCCGCGCCCCGGTGCTCCCCGCGGGGCTGGACGGGGAAGGGGAGGGCGGACCGGGACAGGAGAGCTTCCTGCCCCGCCCTTCCCCGCCCTGCAGGTGAAGCCGAGCCACGGACGCGGGAGCTGCCGCCGGCCATGGCCTACCGGGAGCTGGTGAGGCGCTGGCACCAGGGAGTGCTGGCGGCCGACGGCGGGGACTGGGACACGGCCCTCGACATCTTCGCCGGTATCCCGGGACCGCCGGCCAGGATCTGTTTCAACATGGGCTGCGTGCACCTGCTGGCGGGGCGGCCCGAGGCGGCACTCAGGGTGAGCGGCGGGAGCCGGGGCCTGAGGGGCCGGGATGGGGGCGCTGCTGCCGGAGTGCATCACTGAGAGACTGCTGTTGAGACAGGAGCTAAAACCCGTCACAGCCTGCTTTGGGTTGGAAGGGACCTCAAAGCTCACCCAGCTCCAGCCCCTGCCATGGGCAGGGACACCTTCCACTAGAGCAGCTTGCTCCAAGCCCCTGTGTCCAACCTGGCCTTGAACACTGCCAGGGATGGGGCAGCCACAGCTTCTCTGGGCACCCTGTGCCAGCGCCTCAGCACCCTCCCAGGGAAGAGCTTCTGCCTAAGAGCTCATCTCAGTCTCCCCTCGGGCAGGTTAAAGCCATTCCCCTTGGCCTGTCCCTACAGGCCCTTGTCCCAAGCCCCTCTCCAGCTTTCCTGCAGCCCCTTTAGGCACTGGAGCTGCTCTCAGGTCTCCCCTTCAGGAGCCTTCTCTTCTCCAGGCTGCCCCAGCCCAGCTCTCTCAGCCTGGCTCCAGAGCAGAGCTGCTCCAGCCCTCGCAGTAGCTCCATGGCCTCCTCTGCACTTGCTCCAACAGCTCCACGTCCTTCTGATGCTGGTGACCTGCACATCCCACTAATAGCAGGAAAGTGGGAGGTGATGGACAAAGAGTGAGGGCCCTGCAGCCACCTGTGTCCTCAGACAGTCCTGCACAAGCAGTCGAGGCTGCCAAAAAGAAACCACTCTGCTGGAGAACTGCTGCCCTTGGCAAGGGAGAGCAGGAGCCTGTGCTGGGGTGGGCAAGGGCCCTGAGGGGAAGCCTTTTTCTTACAGCCCCTGGCACGTTTGCACATCTGTCTGTCTGTGTCTCAGCTGCCTGATGAAGGGAGGCACATAAGCCATTTCTTAATGCATATAGAAGAGCTCAGGCTGTGCTGGAAGTCCTGGGGCAGAGCCATAGGGCCTGGGCAGGGTTCTAGCTGCAAGGGACAGCAGCGAGTGCACCACAGTGGTGCTCAGAGAGACTCTTTAGCGATGAATGGGCACTGACTGGGAAGAATCTAAGCTGTACTTACATGTAGGACAACGGTTGATTGTTGTTTTAGAATCATAGAATAGTTAGGGTTGGAAAGGACCTAAAGATCATCAAGTTCTAATCCCCCTTCCATGGGCAAGGACAAGGTCTTTTATAACACAGTAAAGCAGACTGTTAAATGTGTTTTGAGTTACAGGAGAAGCCAGCACCATAATGTGCAGTCCCTCCCTGACCTCCTGCAATGTATTTTCATCCCTGCAATGCTATCCCTTTCTAGGCAGTTTCAGGAAAGTCTGGAGTTTCAGGCTTGATTTATTTCCTCCATACCATCTCCTTGAAATGGTAAGTGAAGGAGCACACCTCCTAGCTCTCTCAAAGGCATTAAGACTGTTTTCCCAGTGCAGTGTTACTTAGAACCATCAGCCATGAGCTGCTGCCAACTTTGCTAATACTTGCCTGTACTTAGCTGTGAAACTGGACCAGAAATATGGACTTAGAGGTGCATTGTGTGAAGCCCTTCAGTTTTCTCCTTTGCGTCTTTTCACATACTTATCACCGTAGCCTGCTTGAAACAGCCTTCCAAAGCCTGGCTAGTCCTGCTGCTCCCACTGTCAGGGCAAAGTCTGCTCCCCACAACACAGTTTTCCCATTAAAGATGCTGGATTGCAAGCGTAGCTCATTTAAGTCCAGTCCATTTTAACAAGGAAGAATAAAAACCTGAAGCTCAGCTTATAGAGAGCCAAGACCTGAACTTGGAGCTGCCTCCTGTCCAGATCACAGCCCTGAGCTTGTCAGTTCTGGGGAGTTGGTCACAAGCACAGGGATGGCTGCTACACCCAGAACAAGAACAGCTTGGATGTGGCTGCCTGGATGCACATACCCAGACATCAGCAGGAGAGAGCCAAACGGATCCTTGTGATCCTCTGGGGCAACAACACAAGAGGGACGTGGAGCTGTTGGAGTGAGTACAGAGGAGGCCACGGAGATGCTTCGAGAGCTGGAGCAGCTCTGCTCTGGAGCCAGGCTGAGAGAGCTGGGCTGGGTCAGCCTGGAGAAGAGAAGGCTCCTGAAGGGGAGACCTGAGAGCAGCTCCAGTGCCTAAAGGGGCTGCAGGAAACCTGGAGAGGGGCTTTGGACAAGGACAAGTGGAAGGTGTCCCTGCCTGTGGCAGGGGGTTGGAACTGGATGAGTTTTAAGGTCCCTTCCCACTCAAACCAGTCTGAGATTCTATGATGTGTCTGTTTTTCTCCTTAGGCGTTCAATGACACCATTGCCAAGGACAGCTCTCTAGCTGTTGGCTATTTTCAGAGAGGGTTTGTCCATCTGCAGCTGGGAAGGTGAGGCCCGTGTCTGCTTCAGTCTTCAGTTTTCTCCTTTTAGTCAGACTTTATTCTGTGATTCTAAAATTCACTTCTTCCAGCAATCTTAAAGAGTTCTTAAGGTCCAGTTTGACCTTGTAAACCGTGTCAGAAGTCAGCAAGTCTTGTCTCTGATAAAGCTGAGAAGACAGGAGCTGCACAACTCCCAGCCCCAAGGGTGGCTAATACATGACATTACTGTTCCATACACTGAGAGAAAGAAGCTGCTCCTGGGGGAGGGTTGGGGGAGCTGCGGGGGGCCTGCCAGGATTCGCATTGTCCTTCAGATTTCTTTGGGAATGAAAATACGTAATTATGCTGCTTGGTGTATGTCCACATGGGACCCCTGAGTCTGACCTCCCTACACACCTAGTTGCACCAAAGTGCCCAACTCCCACGCTCTGCTAAGAGCAGATTTTGTGGGCCTAATCTCAGGCTCCTTGATTTAATGTTGGGATTGCTCCACTAATGTCATGGGATTGATTACTCATTGTTTGCACAGTTAAATCACAGTGACATCCTGCTCAGACAGGTGGGTGGAGGATTTTGCAGATCCCTCTTACCTTCATGTTCAGTTATTCTCTTTCCTGTTATTTTCCCCGTATTTTCCAGACCTTAATTTTGACAAAATGACTACCTTTATTTCTGGGAGGGAGTTAAACTGAGCAGTTCTGCACCCACAGCTGCCTCTCAAGCAGCTACAAGCTCTGTACCTCTGCAACAGAGCTGTGGTCAGGGGTGGTCCAAGCTGCTCCACTCTGCTCCTCCGGGCACCCTGTGCTAGCACCTCAGCACCCTCCCAGGGAAGAGTTTCTGCCTAAGAGATCATCTCAGTCTCCCCTCTGGCAGGTTAAAGCCATTCCCCTTGGCCTGTCCCTACTTCCCTTGTCCCAAGCCCCTCTCCAGCTTTCCTGCAGCCCCTTCAGGCACTGGAGCTGCTCTAAGGTCTCCCCTTCAGGAGCCTTCTCTTCTCCAGGCTGCCCCAGCCCAGCTCTCTCAGCCTGGCTCCAGAGCAGAGCTGCTCCAGCCCTCGCAGCACCTCCGTGGCCTCCTCTGGCCTCACTCCAACAGCTCCACGTCCCTCTTGTGCTGCTGCCCCAGAGCTGGATCAGGACTGCGGGGGGGGGGTCTCCCCAGAGCACAGCAAAGGGGCAGGATCCCCTCCCTGAGCTGGTGCTCACGCTCTGTGCGTGCAGCCCAGCACAGGGAGGTTTTGGGATCAAGCACACACTGAAGCCAGGTCATGGGGAGCTTCTCCTCACCCAACACCCCCAAGTCTTTCCCCTCAGGCTGCTCCATCCCCTTTCTCCCCAGCCTGTGTTTGTGTTTGAGATTGCCTCAACCCAGAGACAGGACCTGGTACTTGGTCTTGTTGAACCTCATGAGGATTGCACAGGCAAACTTCTTAAACAGTATTCAGTTTTTCTAGTCTCATGTTCTTCTGTCATCTCCACACTGCAGGTATGAAGAAGCTCTCTGTGATTATCATATGGCTTTCAGCCACCTAAGAAAAAATCCTTTCATTGATTACAAGCAGCTGGGGCTGAGGCACATCCTCTATGCATGGGAGGTAAGAGTCAGCCTGTCAGAGCAGCCCTTCCGCTGTGCTGGTGGGGATTAGTAGGCATTAGTAACCCAGGAGCTTTTCAGGACAGTGCATTAGAACAGTAAAAACAGAACTTAATCATAAAACTCATAAACCAATCTCACCTCTGAAGAGTTCAGTAAATTGTACAATTGAAAAGTAAAGCTCTTCAGAGCAGATGCATACAAGTTTGTGTATTGGGTTGGGTTTTTTGGCTTATCTATGTATGCATATAATATTTAGACATACGTGCATGTAAATATCTACGTAAGTTTTGTGAACTCCTCAGCTTTGAAAGCTGAAATAGGCTGAAGTGTAGACAGATGGGAACCGAATTGGTCCATAAGGAGTACTGTAAGAAACTTGTGCATGAAAGCCTGTTTTTCCAGCTGTAGCAACTGGTCTTCACTTTTCCTCTGTGTCTAAACTCACAAACTGGGCTGTACGCTGGGTTTTGCTTCTGTAACTTCGTTCTGCAGCTCTTACACTGTGACATGGAGTCAACTTGCCTGTTTAGAACCCATGTAAGTCTGAATTGACTGTGAATATTTGTAATATTTGGACTGTAAAAGACTTCTAGA